ACCTCATTCATTCCTATAATTATTCCTATGTCTGAAAGCTGCAACAAAGGAAGAACAAAGGGGAGAGGAGAATTCATAATTAACTACTTGTAACCAGTCCTTAGATTGATCAGCTTCTTTGTATTTTTGTTTAGGTTTCCTAGCTTGTTTAATTGCTAGCGCAAACCTCTTGTGAGTTGTACTAAGGGAGCTTTAAGAGAGCATAGCTTGAATATGATATTGTTTTGGAAATAAGAGTAGCCTGGCTAACCAGATTACATTTGTAATCTTTGAGTTTAGTTGGCTTAATAGTTTGCCTAGTTGATCTCCTTAATTGGGGAGGATCTGTAAGAATTGAAACTGATGTAGAAGGTGTATTAGTAGGAAGTGTAGAAGAATCTGTAGAAGAAGATTCTACTGGAGGAATCAGTTGAGGAACAACCGATTGAGACAGTTGTGGAGGAAAGTTGGTGTGAGCTTTGGTGAAATCCAAGTCTGAGGAGACTGGTGAAAAAACTGGCAAAAGAACTGAACTATCTGATTTTTTAATTCCACAATCACAATCCGGGATAAACCTATAGTTTGCTAACTCACCCCGTAAGGCTCGTTGCTTAGAGTAATGTTGAGAAACACTCATTCTACCTTGATTGAGATTGAAGATTGCTTCTTGAAGATCAGCAATGCGTAAAGAATCTCCTTGCGAGAATCGCTCACGCAATTCAGTCCAGGCACCAATTGTAGTGGTCACATACAGAATTCTCTCGATGATGGTAGGGTTGACAGACCTCTGAATCCAGCTGAGAAGCAGTTTGTTGTTGTCATTCCAAGACTCGAGCCATGGAGAATCGTCGTTCGGCTGTGGGATTTTGTTCTTGTCGTCGATGACCAAGACCATCGATCTTTCCCAGCTTGAGAAATTTTTCACGTTGAGCGGCTGAGAGACTAGGCATTGACCCCAATTCTCCGAGAGATGGATGAAGAACGGAGAGGCGAGATCAGATATCAGAACGTCTTTGTACAGAATCTCACCAAATTGCTTTGGCGAACTACATTGTGAGAGTTTACGGCTTCACACCGGAAGAAGAATCACGAATCGCCATAGGAGGACGATGTCAAGAAGAAGAAGAAGAAGAAGAAGAAGAAGAAGAAGAAGAAGAAGAAGAAGAAGAAGAAGAAGAAGAAGAGAGACGCGGAAGCGAGAATGTGAGGCGAAATCGGCTCAGAAGGGCTTTGATACCATGCTAGATTTCTAATTAATGCTTTTGTTTATTGATTGAATGATAAAACGTACATAATCCAGCTAGAGTTGCTGGTTTTATACTCTAGTTTACAGGGAGGGAAAGTCAATTTTGAATCCTAACTAGCTGACTAAATTACATTTCAGTACCTATTATATCCCATTTACATTCTATCTATATAAACTTATCATAAACTACAAATTGATACTTTGTATCCTTAATAGGGACGTGGGAATGTTTCTCTGTTGGTGTTGTCTAGAAGTAGTGAGGAGTTTGATGCGGGGCATCCAACTGGAGCTGTGAACATTCCTGACCTCCTAACATTCCTGACCTCCTCAGGAAAGGAGCAGGTACCCTGTCAAAATATGTGCATATGAAGCTTTAACAGTATGAATAAACCGTTTATTTGACACATTCGCATCATAATCCATCCAGATATAAACAATAATTCAAAGTTCTTGGATGAAGTACTGACGAAATTCGAGAAGGAAAAATAAATTGTTGTCGTAGGTTCTTCCGGATACGACTCTTTATGTTAGAAACAAAGTTTCTAACGGTCGTAGAATTGGGGAAATTAGCTAGACCAACTAGGGATTGATCAAGCTAGGGATTAGAATTGGGGAATTTAGGAAGAAGAGAGGGGAAAAGGTGGCTGCCGATCGGCCAAGAGAGAGAGAGAGAGAGAGAGAGAGAGAGAGAGAGAGAGAGTTCGGCGCTAGGGAGAGAGAGAGAGGAAGATTAGGATTTAGGTTTTCTGTAATTGATTGCTTAATCTCCAAATAACACCCTACTGCAGATTATATAATCCGCTAATTCCCTAACTGCTACCCATTTAATAAAATGTCACAACTGACTCCCAACTTATTGCTAAATACCCCAAATAATCCCCCAATTACCAAAAACCGACAATAATACGAAATAATGAAAAGCTGCAAATTGTTTGTTTCTAACATCCCCGCCTCCTTGGGAAGCAACCTTGTCCTCAAGGTTGCGGCTTCTCTTGCTCCGCTCCGGATTCCTCTGCCATCTCATCCTCCGCCTCGTCTTCCCATCGTCCCACCAAGAACATCAAGTCAGGCTTCCCGCACTTGTGGCCAAAGGTGAATCGCTCGTCACAGTTGAAGCACTTCCCTTCTCGCCTCTTCTGCTCTATCTCCGCGGGAGATAGCGTCCTAAATCCCTTGGGTGGTGGCCGCGGTCCTGCTCGAATGGCAGCCGAAGGTGGGCCAGCCGCCGCACCCCCTCCAGAACTAGGACCCGATGCTGCTGCACTCGCCCTGCCGCTCGTCCCACTACCACTGCCTCCTCCTCCGCTCGGCCTCTGATAGCGTCCTATCACTCCCCGCCAGCTAGCCAGCTCCTCTTCCTTATTACCTGCAAGACGGAAAACAGCTCGAAGTGAATCGGGCTCAAATACCCGAACCGCGGCTGCAATCTCTGGGCGGAGTCCCGCCATGCACAGACCCACCAATGTCTCCTCCGGTACGCCCTTGCACTGGTTACCCAGTTTGAAGAACTCAGCTCGATACTCCGCCACTGTCCCAGTCTGGCGCAGCTTAGCCAACTGCTCCGGGGCCCACCCTTCCGACTTGCCGAACTGATACCTCAACTCCTCTTTGAACATCGGCCAGGTAATTAGCGTCCGAGCTTCAGCATAGGTCCGTTCCATCCATTCCCACCACTGCAATGCATCCCCCTCTAAATAGAAGGACGCCAACTGAGCCTTTCGTTCTTCTCTAGTGGGATGGTTCTTGAACCACCGTTCCGCGGAGTATATCCACAGACCTGCATCCTCCCTGCCATTGAATTTTGGGAACTCAATGGTAGGAGGCTTGGCTCGGAACACCATGTCATCTTCTGCCTCACCGCCGCGGTAATAACCGGCGTGCCTCCCATATCCCGGTGCCTCACTGTGATAATGCTGCGCGAACCGAGGTCCCCCTTCATACTCCCACTCACCTTCCTCCCCCTCCTGATATCCCCTTCTTCGGCCCATCTCATTTCTCTGCCTCTGATCACCTGTTCCCGATCCCATGAATTCTCTACCAGTGCCTTGCTGACTCACAAACGGAGGTTGATTGCCACTAAGCTCGTCAAACTGACCTTGGCGAGCCGGAAATCCCCTGCTGCCCGTTCCCCCTGCACGCGCCAGCTGCTGCCCCGGTTCGGCCTTGGTCCGACCGGGTTCAGCCTTGGTCCGACCGGTTTCGGCCCGACCGAGTTCGGCCCGACCGGTTTCGGCCCTACCGCTCGGGCCCTGACTCGACCCAGCTCGGCCCGGCCCGCTGGTCCCCGGCCCATGGGGCTCGGCCGACCCACCTCCCAGCCGCGGCCCGTTTCTCGCCGCTCACCACCTGGCCCGCCTTCCAACCCAGCTCGGCCCATATGGCTTCCTTCATCTCTGCTGTAGTCCGCCCCGGGCCCATTCAACTCATTAGGCCACGGCTCGTGATCATACTCATGCTCCAAGCCCATCAACTCTTCTTCATCCAAGCCCGTTTGCAGATCCGGTTCCACGTACTCGGCCATCTTGGCCTTGCCTCGCGCGCGCGCCCTCTCCTGGGCCGATGGGGTCGGTAATAGCCCATCCTTGACCGATGGCCCGAAGGTGACTTGGCCCGTACGCGACCCGGCTGGTCGGCTAGGGTTTACCGCCGCCCCTCCCGTCTCGCCCGAGCCGCCCGCCCCCTTGTCCTCCGGAAGCCGCGCGGCCCCCTGCCCACCGAGCTCCATCACCACGGCGGCGCCTCCCCCCGGCGCGCCTTTCCCTTCCGGCGGCTGGTCGCCTCCACCAACTCCGTTCCCGCCTTTCTTCCAGGCCTCCGTCAGGCCGCTCACCTGTCCCACCAGTGCTTCCACCGCTGCCGTCAAGGCCTCGATGGTGCGGTTGTGCTCCCTAGCCCTCCCCTGCAGCTCCTTCAACTCCTCCTCCACCCGCGCCTGTCTCCTCGCCTGCGCCTCCATGTCTCTCCTCAGTTCCTCAACCCCTGTCAGATCCTCCACAGCCCCATCGACCCCGTCGTCACCTGCATCGGCGCTCCTGTCACCCGCCTGGTTCGCCTTCTCCGCTTTCTCTGCTGCCTTCATGGATTTCGTCGTTACCATCGTTGATTCTCCGGTTTCTAAGCTGTCCCTGATGGGGTTGAGAAGAACTCACCGATCGGAACCGGGCTCTGATACCAGATGTTAGAAACAAAGTTTCTAACGGTCGTAGAATTGGGGAAATTAGCTAGACCAACTAGGGATTGATCAAGCTAGGGATTAGAATTGGGGAATTTAGGAAGAAGAGAGGGGAAAAGGTGGCTGCCGATCGGCCAAGAGAGAGAGAGAGAGAGAGAGAGAGTTCGGCGCTAGGGAGAGAGAGAGAGAGAGGAAGATTAGGATTTAGGTTTTCTGTAATTGATTGCTTAATCTCCAAATAACACCCTACTGCAGATTATATAATCCGCTAATTCCCTAACTGCTACCCATTTAATAAAATGTCACAACTGACTCCTAACTTATTGCTAAATACCCCAAATAATCCCCCAATTACCAAAAACCGACAATAATACGAAATAATGAAAAGCTGCAAATTGTTTGTTTCTAACACTTTATCTTTTCATTTAATTAATAGAGGATCGAGACCTCCAATCCGTGGTTTGTTCTGTTGTTGCTTGATAAACAGGGTTGCCAGAGCAGAAGGAGGTCACTCATGGCTGCTGCTGAATGCTGATATGCAAGCTGCTCCGACCGTGATTTGTGCTTGTGTAGAATGAAAAATGAAAGCCAATCTAATAAGAATGAAAAATCATCCCTTTCTCCATTAACATTGAGGCCTGCAAAACGCCCTTGAAATCGGTATAAACCATCCTTCGTACATAATTTGAATAAGTTCTCAGTAACGTAATTAGGGCGAATGAGAAAGAACAGCCAACGAGTTGGGAACTCATCGCCAGCCAAGGACTTGCTCACCGACAACCTCTGCCCGCCATTGATGTTCCAACTGATTTCTACTAGAGAGTATACACAAAAAATAAAGACAGAAAACAGCCTCTTTGAGTCACCCATAAACATCAAAAGTTGAGTTGATGTTAAGGATTGAGAAAGGCTGCAACTTTGTTGACATTTTCATTGCAACAGTTTTGCAGTCGATAAGACACACATGGAATCATGCTTTGCTTGAGACGAATGATCTACGAAGCTCTCAATGTTCAATGCCAAGGGTCTTATGCGCGACTAAGGCCATGAAAAAACCGGTGTTTTTTCCTCTTGGAGTGATGCGCAGAAGCCTTAGCCGCAACATATGGCACAAAATTCACCTGCAATTGAAGTTCATGAAAAAGCTTACTCTAGCAGCAGCTTCGAATGAAAGCAAGGAGAAAAACAAATGTGCAGGCAAATAACCTGAGAATTGTTGCGTAAGCCGAACTCCTGAAGGGGAGAGTTGTCGTCGGTAAGCTTTTGGTTATGGTGGGAAAGGGCAAAGTTAGCCCAAACGTGCCTCCTGCAAACAGAAGGGGAAAAAAGATGCTTAACTTTCTCGCAGAGAAAACGCCATAGATGCTTTTATGTTTATTGTACTACCATGAAATGTGGCGATGACCCATTTTCGATTGCTCCATTTCGGTCACTTTCCTCGTGATCGCTACCTTCAAATCCTTTACGGTTGCCGAGTTCATCACCGCCACGTCTCCTCTCACCAAGGGTCGAAACACACAAGTTAGGATGACAGTTGCAGGCTAAATGCTCGACGAAATGCCACAAAGAGGAGGGGGGGAATTCTGTTCTTTTTTTCATTACCGAAGGTGGTTCCGTCGAGTTTGAGTACGGAGACCCGCATCGCGCTGCCGAGTTCGAGGCTGATTAAAGTGTCGACGTCAGATAGAGAAGGGTTCTTGGGGACGTCGGCGAGGACGGGATCGTCGAGGAGTGCCGATAGAGTCGATTGCAGCTTGGCTTTCTTCACGTTGCTGCTGTGGTAGTAGCTTCCGATCTCTTCTTCTTCCGATGCTACTGCTGCCATTTGTGCTGAACTGCTTCCCACTTTCTCCATGTTTTGTTCCTTCCCCCTCTTCTTCAAAGCCTCAATTTGCCACCCGCTTTCAAGCCAAATATGGTGGCGCGCGTCACTGTCGCTTCAATTTTCTTCTTTGATACCCGACAGTCGATCCAGTTCTTCTCCAGAAACCCTGGTTTTCTTTCAGCAAACGGGCAAAGAACACAATCAAGGACATAGAAATTAGTTTATGGGCTTATATTGGTTGGGCTTATGAGAACTAGCCTTCTTCGGTTCAGACACTAGTAAGATTATTGGGTCCCAATGAACATATAACGTACCAACTACCAAGCCTTCTATTTCTCATTCCGAGAAGTCCTTAGACCATCCACATCCATGACACATAATTTCTATTTCATACGTGGTCGCTACTGCCACATCAACAACCTTTACTATTTGGGTTAATACCTTAGGGGTTGTTTGCTTGTGGGATTTGGGTCATGGATTTGGTACCCAAATCCCAAGCTTGATGGATTTAACATAAGTCCATTGTTTGTTGAAGGGTGCTAAATCCGTGGGGTCCACGGATTTGGTCTTTATTTTGGAATCAAAGCCGTGGACCCCACGGACTTGTAAATCCCACATATTGATTTGGGATTTGCAAATCCTTGATGGTTAGTTATTTATTTAACAAATCCATCACAAATCCATCATCAAATCTATCATGCAAACATTAGACTCTTCAAATCCATAATTCAATAAATCCAACATAAATCCCAAGGTTTTTGTTGGCCAAAACCCTCATTTTTCAAATCCAACAAGCAAACGACCCCTTAGTTTGGCCCGAACTATACACAAACTTTCTACTTTGGTACGTGATTTCCGAAATTGCTATTCTGGCATGAACTATGTACCATACTTCCTAACTTGGCCCGAAGCGGAGTTTGACAATCAAATTAGACGGGTAACTCCATTGACCGTTAGTCAATGGCCAGCTCATTTGCCATGTCAGCAAGCACGGAATAAAATATTTATTTTTTTTGTTGAATTTTTGTATTCATTTTATTTTCTAATAATAATAATAATAATAAACCCAATCTATTCCCATTTCCCAACCCCTTCTTCCTCGAAACCTATCCCCTTCTTCCCCGAAACCCCTTCTCCGACGAGCTGCCGCCACCATTAGAGGAAGAAAACTTGCAACGGCGGCGCCCTCGCGTCACTCCCTCAAGCAAACGACCAAGAGCAACCCATTGCAACCAAAATCCCAAAATCATAAACATCAGGAAGAATAGGAATTAAAATAAAAAGTGGTGAATGGAAATTAAACTTATGTTGCTACCAAGATCGAAGACAAGAGGTCGCCTACCAGACTTCCACAAATGCGGACCATTGTCGGACGGTACCACTTGACCTCCGAACATCAGATGCAAGCAAAGCAATCAAATCCCCACTTCACCTATCACCATTAAAATCAGCCCGTAGTTCTCAAAATGAGTGGAAAATTATGAGAGATCCAAAAACTGAACAAAAGAAACGTACAGAGACAATCAGAGAAATGTGGGATAAAAGAGAAGACTTACAGAGGAAAGTAAGATCTCACCCACTAGGGTTGGCCTTAGATCTCACCCACTGGGGATGGATCGTTTTCCTCTACCGCTGCGATTTTTCTTCCTCTAGTGGCGGCGACAGCTCGTCAAAGAAGGGGATAGGTTTCGGGTGAGAGGAGAGGGGATAAATTGATATTTTTATTTTTTCATTTATTATTATTATTAAAAAAGAAAACAAATATAGAAATTCAAAAAACAAAATATTTTATTTCGTGCTTGCTAACGTGGCAAGTGAGTTGGTCATTGACTAACGGTCAACGAAGTTTACCGTTCAATTTGACGATCAAACTCCGCTCCGGGCCAAGTTAGGAAGTATGGTACATAGTTCAGGCCAGGATAGCAATTTCGGAAACCACGGGCCAAAGTAGAAAGTTTGTGTATAGTTCGGGCCAAACTAAGGTATTAACCCTTACTATTTCAATAGATACCAATTTCATTTACTCTACATCAATGAAATTCACTTTCTATTTCATATGGTGGGCCCAACTGAAAATTTTACTACATACTATCCATGATAAAATTAATTAACTAGTTCATTACAAATATATTATAAGTTATAATGTGTAAGTGCGTTTAATGATTTTTGTATTAACTACTATTGATTTGTATGTATGTTGTACGCGGATAGTTGTGACATATCATAAATATATATGGGTATGTTTTATTATCATTATGTTCCAGAATTTGAAGTGTACTATCAATTCAGTTGTTAATCTAATGATAAGTTTATATTATTTTATGTTAATCTTTAATTTTAAGAATAATCTATTTAGTCCTAATTGTATGTTGAAACCATGAAAGTTGAAATAAAAAAAATTGATTTGTCAAAAGGTGGACAGGGGACCCACTACTTTACCCCACCATCCAGTGGCGGACCCAAAATTGTCGGAGAGGTGTGTCGCCGATTAAATAATATAATAATTAAAAATTATTAAAAAATTAATAGAAATTACTAGAAATTAATTCATAAAGTTCATGTTTACTAGAAATGTCTGTAAATACATTCATTGCTTATGTTGCGAAACAAATCCTTTTCCATATACACAACTAAACAATGATTCATAAATTGGTCACTCAACTGATTTCAAAGTTCATTATTGATTATCTTCATAGCTGAAATCTTTCGCAACTTTCAATTGCAACATGTAAAGTCAACACCAACTTCCAAAAGCAAGTAAAACTAAAGGGTAAAAGAAAAGGGAGATGTGGTAGTGGCTCTCAGTAATTAGAAACTAAAACGGGGTAAGGGTGAGTTTTTTATTTTCAATAAAGGAAGGGTCAAGGGGTGGAAAAGTTGAGTTTCAAAGGATGGGGTTATGTTTATTTTTTTCATTGTTGGGTTGTTGTAGGGATGACAACCAAACCCATGGTCGCGGGTACCCGACCTCCTCCGACCCAGTCAACGCGGGAATCCTTGCGTTGATTGGGTATGGGGCGGGTATGGATAAAACCCCCAAAAAGGTTGATGGGTATGGGGCGGGTATGAGGCGGGTATGGTTTTTGACTCTCCCGCCCCATACCCATACCCAAACCTGCCCACCAAGGATATTATGTTATATACATAAAATATAAGGAGTGTATTGTAACTTGACAATCGAATGAAGAGTAATTAAAAGAAAAAATAAAGTGTTAAAATGTAATTGATGACAACCAAACCGTAATTTCATCCTCTTATGTATTAGTTCCATAATTTTGGGTGGGTAGTATCCATATTTGTCACCATATTCTTTTATTTATGGTGAGTAGTTGTTGGGGCGATATTACCCATGGGTATCCGAAAACCGCGGATATGGGGATGAGGTTGGTTTAGGCAAACCCGCCATATTGCCATCCCTAGGTTGTGGTGTGGGTTACTGTAAAACAAGCATACTTATTTGAATTTACTTATTATTGTGTATTACTAATTAAGATTAATAACTTTATAACAAAAAAATCATTCTCGTATAATGAAGGTATGTCACTCACAATTATTTAAGGTGTGTCGGAAGTCTCGAATTAAAAACAAATTGTACAAAAAATATATAGGTACTTCACAAAATTTTCGGGCGAGGGTGTGTCGGACGACACAGCCTGGCCTTTACTAGGTCCGCCACTGCCACCATCCACTTCATTTGCTATTTCACCAAATGAAATATTTCATTGTTGAAAGGATGAACCACATCCATGAAATAGCTTTGGAATGGTGCCACCTCATAATGAAATTGGCTTGTGAAAGCGGATGCATATGCTCTTAAACTAGCAACTAGCTGCTGCCGCTAGTTTTGATCTATTTCTACCTCAAGAGAATAACCGAAGATACTAATTAGTCTCACCCACAAACAAAAACGTGGCCATTGCTTGATGTAAGGATTCAGAAAGACCGCAGCATTACATAACATTCGTTACGAACAGCCTTATGCTCGACTAATGCCGTGAAATAACAGTGCCTTTCTCTTTCTGGAGCTGTTCTTGTCGCAGGAGAAAGTAGTCTAATGACTCAGCAAGCTCGGGAAGAAGAAGACATTTTTCCGGTCTAGGCCGCAACAAAAGACGGGGCAAAGTTGTAAGGTTAGAGCAATTAAGGCTTTGTCTTGCTTTTCGAGCTCTGTCTTGGGTTTCTTACTTTCTTTTATTTGCTGCTGTGTTCTGATTTCTGGAAAACTAGTGTGAAGGAGCTACATTCTACCACATCGCTTAAGCTAATTTACGAAGCTAGAGGAGTGGATATAAAAGGACAGCTCTGCACCCGGTCCAATTCATACCTTTCTCGGCCTTTTGGCTAAGATCAAGTGTAGTATCTGTTCTTATCAGTTTAATATCTGATATGTGGGCCAATGGCCCACACGATATTAAATTAATTTTTATAGGGGGAAAAGTCCACTACTAGAGCTTGCTCTAGGGGCTTCTCAATTGTCGTCCATGCGTTGCACTATTGCAAGGACTGGCGCACCCCACCAATACTAGTCCAATAATCAATTAACTGTAGTCCTGAGGTCTAAGGATTGTTCAGTTATTATTATTACGTTGTATGCCAATTAACTGTAGTCCAATAATCAATTAACTGTAGTCCTGAGGTCTAGAGATTGTTCAGTTATTACTTATTATTATTACGTTGTATGCCGGTGTGCTTATTAACTTGTTCAGTTGTGTGAGTTGTATGCCGGTGTGCTTATTAACTTGTTCAGTTGTGTGTCAAAAATCTGTAACAATGTCAATTTTATCAAATTTACATGAATTTCTTATACACACTTATGTTTGTGATATTTTAATGTAAATAATATTTTAAAGTTCATCTAAATTCATTATTGGCGGGCAATATATGAAATGCTTTGCCCAAATTTTATAGATCTCGACGTACACATTGATCGAAGTTTCTCTATAAAAGGTTTTAAACATCAATATTTCTTAAAGTCGGACACAACCATTTGAGACAAATTATTGACTCATAATTTAGGAGCTTAAAAAATGTTATTAGTCGAACTCTCAATCTTTCAATAAGAATTTCCCTAAAAAAAAAAAAAAATCTTTCAATAAGAATGTTCAATCGCTTCTTGCAACACTCAATCCATGCCCCAACATTTTCTTTTTATCTCTATTTGTGGGGCTTAGTGAGTTGAATGATTCTTAATTCTTAGTAATGATAATGGACTTACAACTCTCAACTTGAAAGTTAGTGGCAAATCTATGAATTTTTCATAAGAATGTCCTCTTCCAAAAATTATATTCATATAAAAATTAAAAGATTAAAAATTCATTAATTAGAAATATTCAACTAGTACAGATTTTAGCAAAAACTCAAGAAGGGTTTTCATATTATGAAAAAAGAAAAAAAAATAGATTTGGTGTCTACACTGCTAAACAAATCTATATATCCTACTAGACAATAACTCAAAGTTGCAAAGAATCTTTCAACACTTGTTGTCTAACCGTAAAATCAATTCAAATTAAGGGTAACCCGTAATTCGTCTAATTGATAGGTTTTGAAAATAGTCGCAGATAAGAGATAACATTTTTACTATTACATAGTGTTGGGGCCATAGTTGAGCGGTATTGGACTTTAGAGCCCAAGGAAAGCAAACAGGCCCGGCCCAGGAGTAGTGGGGCTGTAGGCAATAAAATATGTTAGGCGGTCACTCTAAAGACAAGGCAGGCATAGACCGCCTGACATAAAGCACTGATGGTGACAAGATGGAGAGATCCTCTAAGATACTTACCACGAAGCAAGTAGGACTAAGCATTAATTAGTTGTCGTAGGCGGCCTATAACATGACAGTACATGATTAGGGGGCCTAATAGAGCATTTAATGTTCTAAATTCACCTAACTGGGTATAAATACCTCTACACTAGCATTGATGGTAACTCAACTACTTCCCTTCTCTCTAAACATAAACACATTCTTAGATTCTCTCTCTAACTTAAGCACTGGAGGGTGTCCTGGACGACCGCCCAGACCCTTATTTTGCAGGTTCAGGAGCACTAAACACCATCAAGAACTGAAGCTTCGCTCGTGCCTCATTTCACCGCCTAGTACATTCTAGACTCAAATAATTTGGCGCCCACCGTGGGGCATAGGGCGAGACACTGAAGAAAGGATGGATGAGAACTATGGAACTCCAGTCAAAGGTGTGGTAGGAAAAGAGAGCATCTGTGGTTTAGAAATGCCAACAGTGGAAGAAGAGATGGAAATATAAGACTGCGTAAAGAGTCAGGGGCAGTAAATATCTAGCATGCAAAAAAGCCTCAGCCAAATCCTTGCCATGCTCGAGACACAAGATACGTCTGAGAATACTAAAGAAGAGCCTGAAAGCTCTAGGAAATAAAGGGCCAAAGGCAAAGAGACAAGAGAAGAAACTCCTGCCAACCCTGCTCGGACAGAAGGTGGGGAGTCCGTGGAAGAGGAGGATGCAGAAGAGCTTAATTTGAGCTTCTTAGAGTAACACCTCAGGCCATCATATGGAAAGGCAAAAGGCCATAATGTCCTGCAAAACCCTCTTGTGAAAAGCCTGTTTAAAACACAGGTTTCGTCCAACTTTTCGTCACTAGGGTTGCCAGCCTACAGTGGAAACTCGGATCCAGCAGACCACCTGAGTGATTTCATGCTCAAAATGCAGCTCATCAAAGCCTTTGACGCGGACTTATACAAAACGTTCCCGGTCACGTTCAACGGTTAGTGTAGAACTTGGTACACTTCCTTCCCCGAAGGAATAATCGAGAGCTTTGAGCAGTTCACCACGTTGTCCTCGTCCAAATTTGTATCTCAGAGGATAAGAAAGCTCAATGTGTCAGCG